AACTGCCATGTAAGCCCCTTAGAACTTTAAAGCAGACACACACTACCATATAGAGAGTCCTTTATCCTTATAGTAAACCTACCAGAGTGGTCCATGTCCTATACATGTATCACCTAGATTTTCGGTAACTTACGCCTAAGCCATGGCCAAGTACTTGCGACTTTTTACCTTTGCTACCATTACCTATTCTGTGCCCTTGCAAAGTTTGCCCAAACTCCAGCACACACTTTACGGACTATTAACAGTACTTCAATGCCAACTAATAATGCTCCAAACTCCCAATCCAGATGGCCCGGGAGAAACCAGTAGGCATCCCCTGGTATTCCGAATGAATCCTTTTTCCTCTAGCTAGTCCGGCAGCCTGGTTGGTATAGTGCTTTTGCCAAATACTCGGTCCTTGTTCAGTTTACTGCTAGTGTCTGGTTCCCAGATGATAATCTTTTATGTAGTACCGGCAAAGATCTGTGCTATCTTTTTACTTGGGACTTTCCAAGCAGGCTTCCATATCCCTCGATCCCTTGGATTGATTTGGCTGCTTCACTCAGGTTTTGTGTAACTTATATTACACTACATTCCACAACCTCCCAATATAAGTTGGTGAGACCAAGGTTACAGATGCTTACCTAATCAATATGTCATACAGTTTTACCATAACGCATTTCTGCAAATTCGAATTTTGTCGCCAGTGAAATTCGAACTCTTGTCCTGCTGCTTGAAAGTATAACAACTTACTAACTATACTAAGTCACCACACTCTTCAATATATAATTCTTGAATAGCTTAATTTTAAATAAACAGAAGCAAAATTGCTGAATTATAAAAAAAAATAATAAAAAGATCAAAAAAGTAATTTCAGTATTTTCCATCTGTAATGCCGCATATCTATATTTATACATTGTATAAACAAAATTATACATGTTTATATATTTGTGTAAGATGACAATAATAAGCTTTGGACTTAAACTGGTTTCTAGTTTCTAATATATATACTAGTGCATACCACTTGCTACATGGTTATATATTAATACAACATATATAAGTATATGCCAATGTATACTAATATATTTCACATAGTTGTATGCCACTGTGTACCAACCTAACAGTTATTTAAAGGAAGGCTTTTTCCCTTTACCTCAACAGATATTTTAGACATAGAAATTAGAGTAGATAGTAAATAAAAATTATTAAATAAAACTCTTTGGAATATTGTTTTTTAAATATTTCTATAATATTCTTTTCATTTTAATAATCTTGTAATGTCTTTATTGTCTCAAAACAAGTAAATAAATCCTTTTGCTAAAACCTTCTCTTTTGCTCTTCTAAAACCCTTCTTTAACAAGTACTGCTGTAATAATATATAGTTTTAAAAGTTTTCAAAAAAAATTTTATTTTGATCAACAAAATCACCCAATCAATTGATTTATTTGGTAATATGTAGTTGCGTGTTAAAGAATCGATGAATCGGTTCATACTTAATCTACAAGGCAACATGAAAGACACAAGATCAATATTATCAGCGAAATTAAACATAAAGCCTGGTCAGATTAAAAAGTTACAAGATGCCGGCTACAAATTTCTAGAAGATTTAAAAGAAGCATCTCCACTTACTTTGAGCAAAGGTACATACTATATTTATTTAACGCGTCTCGCGTTCTGAATCTCCAGTAATCTAACGCGTAAGAAAATCAAAAATTACTAAGATATAGGGGTATCAGTACAAGAAGCCCTTAGTATAATTCGACAAATTAAGAGTATGTGTTTAACATCTGCATTAAAAACTGCACAACGCGTTTTACTTTATGGGTATACTGTTTTCGTATTTAGATGATAAACTCCCATCCGCCAGCCTTACTTCAATTATCAGACGGGAGACATATGCAATACCTACTTTTTGCGATGGTATTGATAAATTGCTCGGAGGGAAAGGTGTTGCATTAGGAAAAATAATAGAATTCTGTGGAATTCCCGGGATTGGCAAAACACAGATGGGGTAACTAATAAATGCTATGTTTGAGTAGTTGTTTGAATAGTCAATAATAACCTATTTTATTATGTAAAACATGTTAAAGAATTCAACTTTCTATTAATGTTCAAATACCTCGAAGCTTATCCGGACCCGAGGGTGAAGCTGTATATATTGGTATGTCGAATCACAATTATATACGCATATTTATTTATTTTGGATACTCATGTAGGTTTACCATCGTTATTATAAAGATACAGAAGGTAGTTTCATAATTCAACGCGTTGCTGAAATAGCAAACGGTACTATCACGAGACTTAACGAGACGGTCGAAGGTATGGTCACATAATAATAGATTTAAATATGGAACAATAACTTCAATAGATTATTTACCAATAATAGGATCACCATTTAATCTCGAAACTATTCTCTCAAGGATTTATTACTTCAGAATTCATGACTATATACAACTAAACGCACTTATTAAAAATATGGATGAGTTTTTAAACGAACATCAGGCGGTATTTGCACAAGTTTAATCAATTAAGCCAATCAATAGCGATAGTAATATGTCCACTAATATTCAAAGGAATTCAGGTTAAACTTATTGTTATTGATTCAATTGCATTCCACTTTCGCACGGAATTGGAGTTATCAATTCGGACACGAGTGCTTCAAATGATAGCACAAAAGCTGGAAGATATTGCAGAATCATTCGAAATTGCAGTAAGCAAAATGCAATTATACAATTATTATTATTATTATTATGTTTAATAGAATGTTTTTAATCTGACGCGTTTTCTTACAGATCGTTCTGATGAATCAAATGACCACAAAATTTGGCGGAAATAGCGGGCCAGACAATACAACATTAGCACCAGCATTAGGTTTGTTATTTTATGATGTTATTAGTAATTTTAACATTCAACAATTTTGGTGTGTTTATTGTGTGCAGGTGACGTCTTAAGTGAGGCATGTTCGGATCGCGTATTGCTTTTTTGCCGTGAGGAAGAAAGGTAACATACAGCGCACTACAATTTTAGTACAGTATATAGCTACTAATTAATTATCGTTACTATTTAATGGCTTAAACAGATTTGCACATTTATTTAAGTCAGCAACGAAGCCAGAGCTGCAAGCCACATCTGTACAATATCAAATTATTGTAAGTTAAGTTCTTGAAGGGAATCATAATTAAATTTATTTTAAAATGAAATTTTTTTTTTTTTTCTCAATTAGAAAGATGGAATTCGTGATTGTCCTTTACCAACTCCAGTCTGATGATTTACCAAATATTGGTAGTGTCGATTACACTTTTTGCCAATCAGATAAATAACTAAATATTTATTAATAAGGTAGCTGTGCGACGCAGTCGCGCCAAACCAGGAACGTAAATTTGGATTTTAAAAATCTGTGTATTATTTTTATAATAGGGTTAAA